TTTCTTGTTTGCTATTTTGAGTCTTTTTTTTGTAGTTGCATGCTTGGAATAATGAAAGCTAATGATCCCAATCTTTAAATTAGTGATATTAAATTACTAGACATGAGAATAAAGGATTATTTCCCCCTATAAAGGAATGGAGTTATCTGCATCTATGCCTCTAGTGACGTCACGTTTAGCCACACCCACCGACAGGAAGTAATAAAAATGAGCATCTTTGAAGGCTCATATCTCAGTGAAAAAATTTTTTTAGAGAATGGGAGTTGGAATACATCATTATTATGGTCAGGCAATCATATTAAGCCAATAAAAAAAATTCACCAAAAATACACCGGACTTACCCTTTAAGAGTGTCCCAAATGGCCTAACTTGTTAACCTGAGTGCCTTAAACCTGGAGGTCCGGGTTCAAATCTCAGTTTTACTTTTTCTTTTTTTATTTTATGCAAATTTTTTCTCCTGGAAAGAAATAAACGCCCGGGCTTTTATTTGAACATTTACGGTACATTGATAAGACAAAGCATTTTAAAAACATTAGAATTTTTAAAACTGGCTCCAGAAAAATCCCAATTTATTGTCCTAAGCTTGTAGAAAATTTTAGCAGAAATAGTTATTGAACATCATTGATTTTTGATCAAATCTTTTAATTTTGTTATGAAATACAAACTTCAAAATTTATTGAGTACGCATAACAGTATCTCAATAATTTTAATATGAGATAATAAAGTAATTTTAGAATGTTTAAAGTGATGATCACTGTAATTATAATACATGAACACACAATAGAATGGATAAATAAAATTTAAATAAGAATAACAATTTGATGAGACTCTAAATCATGAATATTATGAAGATTATTATAATACAATAAATAAATAATCTTAATCTATCACAAAGCTGATGTGATTATTAACAACACAAAAAATAAAGTTACACAAACTAGTCCTATATTATATCTTAAACCTGATGAAGCACTTGGAATGAATGCACTATCATCACTAGTTCTTTGACTATCACTAATAGTTAAACTACGTGTTTGACTACTGCTTGAAGTGGGAGGAGTCACTGATGAGGTGGGTGTGGCGACAGTGGTTGATGCAGTTGCTGAATTTAAAGATGTAGTGGTGGGTGTGACTTCAACCGAGTCAACTGTGTATCTATTGAAAAAGATAGAATTAAATTAAAAAGAGTAAAAATTAGGAGAAGGCAATTTAAAAAAGCAGCATACTATTATAATACAGTACATGTATTTCGGATGCACATAACTCTTAACAAAAGCATAATTACAGTATAATACAATTTGTTCACATTAATTGTTATCTTACATTGACTGTGTGTTATTGAAAACTGATTGTATGATCCTGGCAATGGTTTCAGGAGAGAGAGTGGGAGGGACATGAGATGGTCTGTTCGGTGGTAGAGTTGGGATTGTACTGGATATATTTAATATGGTAAGCTGCGATGAAGGATCACCCAGAGATATAATGTTTTTGGGAAGTGGAGGACTACAAGAGAGAGAGAGAAATGAAATTCCTATCAATTAAGCTAAAATTCTTTTTCTCACCACACACAAAGGTTGCCGTGACGACAAAACGTTTAACACATAAGGCAACAACAATCTCTTCAAATTAACAAATTATAGTTGCCATGGCAACCGCTAACTAAAACTAATCAAAAGCATTCAATAGGGACTAGGGTTACCGTATACGGTAAAATGTATTTTTAAATATTATGTAAAATGGCTCCTGGATGTCTTGGATATAATCTGTGAGTCATTCAGGTCATGCAATCTTAATGCCATTCCATTCATGCTCTGACCAGGTGCTATACACACACACACACACCAGGGGATGAGTGAATTACATCAAATGAAAACTGACGTATGGAAATTTGCTTAAATACACTTTCCTGTGTATTGATCACATCATTGGCTTGACATTTGCATAAATATTTTTCTTATGCACTAACGCAAGTATGTACTAGTAATACTAGTGTATACAGTGTAGCCTCTTTGTTATAGACACCATTGGGCCCACACTACCTGTCCTTTAAAATATCAGCATTACAAATGGGATATTGCAAGATGTCCTCATTATAGAGGTGTCCTTATTATAAAGGTTCCATTGTAATAACAGATATAACACTATGCTATTCTAGGGTACCCAGAGTGCTAAGTATGTGAGTAGTGCATTATTACTTACCCAGGAATAGTCTCAGTAACTGATAGCCTATTTACACTGTAGCCTTTCTTCTTCAGCATGTGTACTACATTCCTTTCACCCACAAAATGACCTGAAGAAAGAAAAATGTCATAATTAAACAGAGTTCGTAAACAGGTTGATTCCTATGGCTGTATTATGATGAATTCATTGAGTGAATATAAAGGTTTTGATGGCTTACATAATACAAGTACTGTACATTAGATATGATGTTATTCATATCAACATGCCCACAGCCTTTGAAGTCCTCATTCATAAAAACCAAATCAAAGCATTACTAATCAATGCCAGACACGTAAACACCCATTCCCTCTTCTAATTCAATATATGCAATTCTGAGATAATATTTAATTCCAAACAGCTGTGCTTATGAGTGCATGTGTAGGGTAGCTATCAAGGCCACATACTCCAAATTCTAAATGTGTACACAGAAGGAGGATACAGCCATAGTTAGTGAATGTGTTGATGGGCTGTTTTTGCATTTGGTTACTGTTCATAAAATATGCTAAGAGGATATCACAGCCACACTTATAAATTCACACTTCCTCCCTTTTACTCTATCTTATCCTTCTCTCCCTCACTCCTCCTTTTCCTTTCTCTCTCTCTCTCCCTTTCACCATCTTATTCATCTCTCACTCTCTCTTCTATTTCATTACGCAATAAAATGTAACATTGTCACTAAATCTAATATTAAAATCATTAGCTGAAAGAAGTCAATCAGTGCTCTCAATACACAGCTTTGTCAAGGCTTCATCTGTTTGCAATCGAACACATTTACACACTCAGGGAAAGTAGCAAAGGAAGAGTGGGCCTGGAATGCTTTCAATAAAGCTCAAAAGGATAGTCAAAAGCTAAGAGAGGTCAGGGGTATGGACAAACAGTGTACTTTTAAATGAAATTTTATACCTGTCATGTACATGTACACACATGCATAGTAAAATTAAATAAAACAGTGTTCTCACCTGCTCCAATGGCAAAGAGGTAAGTCTCATTTCTCTGTCTACTCAAAAGGCTCATAATCGTTTTACTCATTCGTCTGTTTCGTCTATAAACTATCTGACTAACGAGAAACTCGTTGATACTCTCAAGATCTCCGGCCTCCTCTGACGTGAGGTTTGGGAGTTTTGAAGAGCTAGGGAGTGGGAGTATGGGCCTCGCTGAGACTAGACTCTTGAAGTCGCCACAGTTGTAGGTCTCAAGGTCTGAGTCGGTGGACGATATAGGGCCATCGGCTAACGGCTCAAGGTAATCTAAGAGTTTCCTTAAAGCGACGAATACCTATGAGAGAGAAAGAGAAGGAGAGAGGGAGGGAGGGAGAGAAGAGGAATGATAGGGTTAATCTAATGAACCAGTTACCATAGTGATAAATGATTAAAGAATTATGACGCTTGGCTGGGAGCATGCAAATATTAGAGCAACGCCTCAAGTAAGCATGCAAACAATTAGAAACTAGTATATACATTACATAGTCATGCATCACAAGGACGAAAATAATAAAATGCAACACGACTATTAGTTAGGAAAGATTACATTAATTAAATTTTAATGAGCTATATTAAAATTTAATTTGATAGTTGAAAAGTAATTTGTAATGAAGGCTTGGAATGCATGGTGGAGACATGTTTGAATACTGATACAGTAATTGAACTAATTGCTCTCATAAACCGCAATATGCTAAAAATCATAATTAAAAATAAGTAATTAATAGCATCATTGACTAGCCACCTATAAACACAGGTGTGTAAAGGTTGAAAGAGTCATATACTATAAACTCTGACCCACAGACATATAGCATACAGCAGTGATGCAGTGAGTTTACTTAGCATTTATAAGGCTTATGAGTAAAAAATTTTACTACATGTATATATGCATATATCATTGTAGTACTTGTATTGCACATTCTCACCTTTGTATTATTAAGTCTGTTAAATGGTCGACACTGCTCTTTGTATACTTCGACTGCTTCTACATTCTTTCCCATGCCCTCGGCAGCACGATCTAGAAACACATCAAGAAGGGGAATGCTCCTCTCTTGGACGTTCTCTCTGGATAAAGAGCTGATGAGCATTAGGAGCCACACAGGTCTGAGCCTGTTCCAGTTCCCAATCATAGCATGGAAGAGACGATCACTCTCTATCCTCGAGAGACCGTTGATACTCGCATTACCAAACAACCACTTTGGGAACTGGTTCTGAATCCGGACAAAGTACTTCAACACGCGTACATAGAGGCCTCCAGGGAGTACACTCTCTAGTGTTTCATTTTTTGGAAGGTATCGACACGCAGAAAGGTTTTTTGAGGTTTCTGAGTCGGTGAGGCGTAGCTCTACACAGAGGTGCTCCGAGAGGCTGAGAACACTCTTTACATTATCAGGGACATCATCCCAAAGTTTCTTGTAGGGAACATGCATTGTGCCAAAGAGGTAGATTGGAGGGGATGCCTCAATACGCCACAAATAAGAATTCTACAGGAAAAAGAGGAAAATATAAATGAATTAGTACTGTATTAAGATTGTAAAAATCTAATTTTTGATATTAGCCCTTCATTACTTTACACTATCATGCAGTGATGTACACTAGTCAGTGGTGCTTACTTGAGTGGCATTGTTACTGCAGTGGTATGATCCTGTAGCTGATGGCAGTAGAACAGAGAGAAGCACTAGCTTTACTAGCAGTACCAAGCATGGAAAAACTTGTACTATCCTGCAGAATTAAGAGAAAATTGTAATGAAGCACTATGATGTAAGCCAGAACTAGCTAGCATTCAAAACTACACAATAAAACTTCACTTGCATTTTATTGGAGGTATATAAGTGTGATGAAGGACTTGAAAAATGATTTGAATCACTTGTCTTGCAAATGAGAGTCTCTGCTTGTCGAAATAGCAGCAAAACACGTGCTTTATATAGGCTAGCAGCTGCACAAACAAACTGCACCGGAAGGGCTTCCAATCAACGGCGTTGAGCGGCTTCAGACATTCCTTGCATAAGCAGATCAGAAATGAGCATATCATTAGAATGGAATCCTTTCCAATGAAAGATCTGACGTCAAAAGCAACAGGCAGAGTTGTACATGCAGTGAAGCTGATCAAGGTCAGGTATACTATACGGCAATAGCATATGGTAAGAGACAATTAGAATATCCAAAGGAAGGAAAAAAGGATTAACACAGTCGTTGTCATGGCAGAAATTGTAGCACATACACACAACATATTTACGTAATAACTATTAGAATAATGCATTGATAACGAGAGAGAAAGTGAGAGAAGGAAAATTAAGAAAGATCGAGGAAGGTTGTAATTGCATGAGTATAATTAAATAATGCACGTAAGGAAATGGCATTCTTGTTATTTTTTGTGACCTCCACCTCCGCCACGAGGACGACCTCCTCTCCCTCTTGAGGCACCACCTACAAAGAGAGAGAGAGACAGAGAGAAAAGAGTGAAAGATATTAAATGTTCACAGACAGTGTATCAACAATCATTGCTATAGGTGCAAACAGTAAAAGGAAGGAAGAGAGATCAAAAATACAGTGAGAGAGCCAGCATGCACCAAGACACAAACGCTGGTGAGAGAAATGCTTAAAACTAATCAGTATTGGAACTATGTGCTTTTGTATGCATGTGACAAGCACTTACATGTGGCAAATTAAAGACTGGGGCAGACAAGAGTGAGCAAAGAGAGAAGGAAGAGAGAGAGAGAGAAGGGAGAGAGAGAGAGAGAGAGGGAGGGAGGGAGAGAGAGGGGGAGAGAAACAGACAGACTGGTGGGTGAGATGGAAAGGATGTTGACTGCTGGGCTGTAACATTATGACTGCATATTTAATGAGTGACATATTAATAACTGTGAACTAATGACAGCAGCTTATATTTATATTCAACCAGAAACCGCACACAGTTACAAACACATACATTGTATACATTGTACATTGTACATGTACATGTATTACCTCATGCAATGTTTGTGTGCCTTGTGGCGAGCGTTTAACAAAATAATGCAAAACATCAACACACAATTACATTGATATTAGGAAATTGATACTGTTGAGTGTGAGACGGAAGAGGGAATACATGTATGGGTAGAGGAGAATGAGAGAGAGAGAGAGAGAGAGAGAGAGAGAGAGAGAGAGGAGAAAGTCAAAAAGAGAAAAGAAATCAATGATACTATAAAGAAAGCAAAACATTAAGGGGCTCCAACTCCTAGTCACACTCAGACATACGCATACATGCAATGTATTTCCTCAAATAAGGGCCTAGGCGTTTATTGCTTAGCAGAGGCAAAATCACGAAACCAGCGACTCTGTGTTCTGAAGACAGAGGCTGAACAATTAAGCTATTTGAACCACTCTAAACACAAGTGCACATAATACTGGGTCAAATATGCATATCTATAGTGGTAATATATTAGTGATAGGCACTTATTTGAGTAAGGCCCCTATTTGAGGAAATACGGTACATACACAAACACACACACATATACATACGGACATACACGTACATACATACATGTACATGTACATACACACATATATAGATACATACATACATAAAAACATGTACATACATACAAAAATACACATCAGGAAGGGCTTTACCCAATAAAATATAAGCAGTGATGAATTAATAAAATTCCAATCTCTACAGTTCTGATTACTATAGCAATGAAGCCCAACTTTACATATAGGATTACAAAATTATGCTAAATCCTGCTTCCTGCACATAATACACAACATACCCTTCACATACACACCCTCCATCAGTATAAAGGGAGGCTCTACAATGTTAGGCATACAGAATCAGTACAATATCAATATCTCCACAGGCCCTGGCAAGATGTGAGAAACCACTAGCCTGTATATCAAACAAACTAACTCCCCAATAACACATGGAGCATATCACATCATACCTTGAAAGACTTACTAAGAAAAACTAAGTTTTCATGTGGTTTTAATCAGAGGGTAATTTCTAACATGTGAAAGCTTCAAAAAGCATGCATAAACAACACTCTGTGGTTACAGTAATCTTTTAATAAAGGGACAGGACATCACCCTGTCTCCATACTTCTTTCATTGTTTGCGTCTGCATAACTTCAACTAATGAACACAAAGCATTGAGACTCATTAGATACGACACATAATGCCAAGAAACAAGAGCCATTAATGGTAGTGAGGAACTACATGTGTACACTGATAGTATTTCTACTAGTACATACTTCACATATCGAAGGGGTCACTGGTCACGTTCAAGGCGACAGACAGATTAGGTCTAAGAATTCAAGTCAAAGGCTCGCTGGGTGTATTTAAGAAACGAGACTCAATTATTGCCGTATAGTGTAAATTAAAATAAAGTCTGTCAAAAAAGGCGGTTAATTGAGCAGGCAAAATTGTGTATGAAATCTGTGGGCAATTGTAGGCTAAAAAGAAGAAGAGACGTTTACAAAATAAACAGAATGAATCGTGACCTACATTTGCGTATTTGGCATTGATGCATACGAGGTATGTGCATGTAGCTGTTTATGAAGTAATGTCATATCTCAATATTTATATTGATCGCATTATTCTTCATCTGTCAATTAATAGCAACATAAGGTTCGTCAATTGGTCCATTAATGGAATAAATACAGGGGTAATAGGTTAACTAATAAGATGACAACCTCAGGTATGAGTGTATTGTACTATGTGGTAATGTTTAGTCTACAGAATTGAGGAGGAAGAGAGGGAAAGCACACAAACAGATAAATATTATTATATGATGTAATAGATGCATACATGTACATGTACATGTATACATAGAGAGAAAAGGAGAGAGAAAAGGAGAGAGAAAAAGAGGGGAGAGAGAGAGAGAGAGAAAGGGGAAGTACAAACACAAGAGCATACATGTATAATTAGTTGCTGCATTAGCAAATTATACAATTATGGAGCAGATTCGGTGACAGCATTAATTACATTGAGAATGCTAAGCGGCGACTGTCGGTCTATCTATTTGTAAATTGATATCATTAAATAATTAAAGTATAATAAAATATCAGAGCGTGCTGGCTATTGCCTGCATAAACAGAGAGGAAGAGAAGGAGAGAGAGGGGGAGGGAGAGAGAGGGGGAGGGAGAGAGAAAAAGAGAGGGAGAGGGGAAGGAAGTTTAAAAAAAATGAAGACAGAAAGAAGAGAGGTTGGGAGAAAGGAGAGAATTGCTGCATCCAATATACATGTACATGTATGTCATACTTTCATGAATATAGTAACACGTGCATAAAATTCAATTATACACGTACATATGTATGTATGCCCATTGTACAAGCATAACAGCAGATGCACGCATTAGACGCATGACATGTGACATGATGGTAGCTGCATTGGCAGTCAATTAGTACAAAAAGTAGAGCCATAATGAAATTAAAATTCATATCACATCTGGGGAATAAAATACACAGTCGGTAGGCATGGCAACTATATACCAAAAGGAGCGACAAGCCAGACAATATTATACACAAAACAATGGGATGTAGTGAGAGAGAGAGAGGAGGGGGCAGAATTAAGTGTATATAAGTACATGTAGGAGTTCGAAGAACTCATCAATAATGACAAAACAACAATTTTTTTATTTTGAAAACACTCAAACAACCTCAAATTGGAAGCTAACTGTTTATTGAATTACTCACAAATGAGGTGTCAGCGAGTAAATACCTCACAACCAATAAAACAAACAGAGCCATGTACATGTACATATACAGTACATGTACATGTACGTACATAAGTACATGTACATGTATTTGTGCTTGTGAGACGTGACTCAGGTAGGAGGAAGATGTGGGGGAAGGAAAAGTAATGAAGTGAACAGAAATAATAATAATAACAAACAAAATGAAGGTACACACAATGTAGTCAATAATAGTGAGAAAGGGATGGAAATAAAGGGATAGAAAAAGAAGGAACCAATTTTACAAAAATAGAATTTTAAAAAGGTATACATGTAAATGCATATAATGTACATGTATAACACTTTTTGACAAGAAGTGAAATATAAGAATAATAAGATGACAGTAATAGAATAAGCTATAGCTTTACAATAATAATGAGAAAGGGAGGGAGGATAAGGGATAGAGAAAAGGAACCAGTTTAACAAAAATAGAATTTTAAAAAGGTATACATGTACAACACTCTTGACAAGAAATGAAGGTAAGATGACAGTAATATAGCTACAGATACACTTCTCAAAATGACAAAAAAAAACACTCAGTAAGTATTGTGTCAAGCTGTTCAAGTTTCAACAGCTACAACTCTAGAGCATGTGGTTAATACAGGATACTCCAGAATCATGTGTATATGTACAGTGTAATGGCCAATTATAGACACACACACATATATACAATGTAAGTAGTATTAAGTACAAGTGTATGGTGGATTATTATGTAGTCAATAGTAGGTAAAAGGAGAAAGAGATTGAAGTGCAGATAGAAAGGAGTGTTTTCAACCACTCCAACAAATAATTCATTTGTAACGATGACATAAAAGACTCATCAAAGAAACCAGAACATGACACGATACAATCACACAAAAACACAACACACACACCAACACACTATTACCCACAGGCACTGACCATACATACACACACACACATTATATCATGCAAGTACAAAGTAGATACTGCACATGTACTAGATACTAGTAGGTACTCTCCCCATTAGGAGTGAGCCCACATTACCTGTCCTTAATACAGAGGTGTCCTCATTTCAAAGGTACATGTATGTACATGTAGATACTGCACATGTACATGTACATGTAGGTACTCTCATACTCTAACCATTGGGCAATATCTGTCCTTAATACAGAGGTGCCCTCAATTCAAAGGTACATGTACATGTACCTTTTTATAGGCTTGTACCAACTCATAATCATATTCACCAAGTACATATGTACATGTACATTGTTGGCCTCATTAATAAGTGCTCATACTATTGGTTAGGTTAGTTAGTTACTTCTTTTGTCTCTTTTTCACTTGTTCTTTTATTCCCTTTCACACTCTCTCTTTGCTAATCCACTTCTTCCTTTTATAGGAACAAAGGTTTATCTCTCAAAGCTTAACAATAAATTATACACACACGCACGCACGCACACACACACACACACAAAATGTCTTCCTTTCTTTAAACTTAAATCATATTTTCCCTCATCACATCACCATAATCAATACACGTTTGCATTCTACATGCATTTATTTTGCATTTTAGTCATGAATCAATACTTAATGAATAGCTGACACTTGACATTCCAACGTACAAACAGCCAACGATTGAAGACATTACATGACAATAAATGCTCAATATATTAGATTAGTGCCTACTTTGATATAAACAATGAATCACTACTAGAAATGCACATACCAACACACAATCATAACACACATGTACACTATATGCATAAATGTACACATACCAATGAGAGATTGATGGGACATTAAAATACCAGAGTTTAATGTTCATGGCATACCAAGCAAGTGTGAAGTCAGAGAGTGCGTGTGTGTAGGAGTGAAAGAAAGAGAAAGGGAAAATTGCAATGGAATTCAGAAAACATATTAAATACCGGAACTTTAAATTGAAACGAAACGTTGAGAATCTTAAGAATTAGTTCAAATTTCTTCACACACACACACTCATAAAAATTGTGCCAATTCACAGTATCCACTTCAAAAACAAAACTAAATGTACCAGTCAAACCAGCTAGGGCATGGACAGAAACAGATGTGCCATGAGAACAGCTGCAGAAGGATCTAAAAACAATTATAATGAATACACACCCAACATGTACTAGGGCATATAAAGTTGACACATACCATACACATGTACATGTACATTCATATCAGAGCTACATGTACATGTATAAGGCATGGGGCCATTAAGCTATACACTGTAACTATGACGACAGTGATATCAATATTCATCCATTAGGAGAGCATCTGTCATCAAACCACCACTGGCTGTCTTTGATGAGTGCAATTAGAGAGGCTTCAGCCTTACCCTCAGTATAATGGATTCGGACCACATCATGATAATAATAATAAATAATAATAATAAATAATAATAACAACAACAATAATAATAATAATAATAATAATAATAATAATAATAATAATAGTAATAATAATAATAATAATAATAATAATAATAATAATGTCAGCTTTACACCACTTTGTTTTTCAGTTGATGGCCTAATGAGTTCAGAGACAAAAACATTCTTGGACTGACTGGGTGACCATCTGGCCTCTAATTGGGAAAGACCCTACAGTGTTGTTGTGCATTGGCTTCGGGTCAAAATGAGTATGGCACTTTTGAGAGCGACTGACCTCTGTCTGAGAGGTACTAGGAGCAGATTGAGACCAATGTTAATTGAAGATGATGCTCCTATTAACCCTTCTATCCTTAATTTTTAACTTATTTCATATAAATTTTAAATTTTAACTTATTATAAATTATTTTGTGACTGCTACTGCTGTTCTTCCATTTGTTCATTTATAATAATAATAATAATAATAATAATAATAATAATAATAATAATACAGGCAAGGCACCCAACATCTCTATAGGTAGGAACATCCCAATACAACATTAATGAATAATGAGATCCTGATGAACTGTGTGTATAAAGAAATGAGGTTTCTCTTTGTTTTGTACCCTCTATCTTCCCATTTCCTCTTTATAATTTCATGACATGTGTAGTATACAAGCATGGTTTAGCCACACCTAAACACAACCAGACACTGCAGACAAACCCGTCTACCCTGGGAACCAATACTACCACCCTCATTATATAGTACTGTCCTATCTCAGCCTTTATTAAGGACACCATGACTCCATTAGGCCCACAGTACCACAAATGTCCTCATTTCAGAGGCACATGTGCTTTGGTATAGAGACAATACAAGAACATCTTTAACCCTTTAACACCGAAATTAATTTTTGGAATAAAAATAATTTTCTGGTGGTACTAGTTTAGCAATGCATATCTCTCAAGATCTTGTCCTTCGAGACTTGAAACTTGCTAGCAGCCTTTATGGGATGTTCATCCTTAGATAGAAGAAGTATAATAGTAAATGAAGCGGCATAAAGCAATGCAGCGTCTATTGTAAAGATACTCAAAGCTTTTCTCAAATACACGGACTTGGCGAAGGGAAAGAGAGAGTTGTATCATGTTAAGCAGGACCTAGTAGGCAGGATATGAAAGAACGAAGAGGCAGAAGTCAGTGGAGAAGATGCTACGAGTAGAAACACCACTGTGACTGGTCGAGAAGCCATGGTTGCTAAGCCGTTGCTAAGCAAAATGTGGCCACACCTACCGCTTTTCTCCATTGAAATGTTAGGCAAAGCAGCTCTCTCGAGTCGCTCGCCTTTTCTACTCACTTCTAGAGGATTTCACAAGCCAAAGGTAAGTCTAAACATTCTGTCTTTTGTTGTTGTGTCATTTTTTAGGTGACTTACCTCGGCCGCTGATCATTTTGAACAGTTTGGGTCGCGCTACTGGACTTTTCTACCTATATACTCTGTTTTTAGTCTTTGACAATGTTATATATGTTAGAGAGATGAAAGGAGAACCTTTTAAAGCTATCTAGAATGTTATATTTCCATAAATAAAAAAGAAAATAACAATTATACTACACCCCCTCATGTTATTGACGTACAAGTACGTCTATCGGTGTTAAAGGGTTAAGAAGGCACTTGTACTTGCAATTTGTTCTAAGAAGATCTATGATAACAAAAAGTCTAATTTACATTAGGTACCTGTACTTAACTACAATATGCTAAACGAACAGAATTCTATCATAAACGAATCACAGCACTGCATAGTAATACTGTTTATAAGAGAGAGAAGAGGGAGAGTTATGAGAGACAAAAACAAGGCCACAAGGAAATGAGGTGTAATTGCCAATAATGCCTAAGGCTCAAGCTAATCCAATAAGATAAAAACATCAAGTCAGACCAAACAATTCAATTATCATAATGAACCCACAGGGCACTCAAACTAATATTCAATTTTTGCATCTCCATGCTAGTCAAAAACATGTGACAAACATGTACATATCACATGCAACAACAATAATAATAATTGCAATAATAGTACATGTACATGTATTGTGCGAATTAACATGTACTTTTATGCATGGCTAATAGTGGCTGGCCTAACGAGTCCATTAGTTTCCATAGTTTCCAATTAGCGTTTGTACATGTACATGTACACATGTATATGTATATGATAGTCCATAGTGATCATGTGAGGATGTGCAAATGAAACCACAACAATCAATTTCCATGACATCTTAAGCCTCAAAATAGCCCACAAGAAATAGCAACAGTACCTTATGGAGGATACTAGCTAATGAGCTCATCCAATGTACACAATCACATGCACAGTACTTGAACAAACAATAAAAGACTACTTTATACCATAGCTAGAAAATTGTGTTATTTGCCATGAGTGGCTTTTCCGGATTTTATTTTTGCAAATTCACAATGCCTTTTTATTTAGTTACATGGACATGTACATGCAGGTCATAAATTTGTGTACCAATTTTTGCAATAATTATTCCAAATTCGCAAAATTCACAAAATTCACAGACATTTTGAGCTACAAAAATTTCTAGCTACATGAACATGATGTATGTATAAGTTAAGTACATGTACTACTCCCTCTTTCTCTTCTACTATTAAGCATACATTTTCTGTGCAATGTTACAAGAAATGCATTACTTAAAAAAATTTCTTTCAATCTTAAAAAAATAATATACAAACTATGTCAATCAAAACTCTCAACCATCAGCAAACATTAGAACAACAATGATGATTGCATACCAAATTAATAGCTACCAAATCACACAATAAGTGCTATACCTTTATACACAATATCACTAGGCAGATTCTGTGGGTGCTTTATTTACACTATTCAACTGACATTTGAGTAAGTGGAACAACGTGAGAGAGACTTACAACAAAAACAAGAGAGCACATACTTGACATTGCAAACACATACATGTACATGCATGTATACATGTATTATACATGTACATGTACATGTATAATATACATGTACATGTTAATAAATGTTCTAATGACTGTACTATGTGTGTATGTCGTTTAGCAGTAATGTCATACCATACAGGATTAATAGTTGAAAGCCACTGACTAACAAACAATATCTTTGAAGAGATGAATGTATGGGCATACCAGATTAAAACACCCACAGAGATAAATTAATTATGAAGTCATTGTGAGGCTTATAATGGAATTTTAAGACATGTTTGTCTGTTATGGGGGGCAGAGATCAAAGGACTGAAATGCAATGACGTGTAGAAACGAAAATAAATATATCACTTTTATTCAGTAACCTTACTACTTACATGTACATTGTACATGTACATGTACCATAGTAAAAATTATACTTAAAATATACATGTGCATGTGTATATAATAATTATTCTGAGAACTCTACCCTATCACAAAAATAATTCTTCAAAATTTTCTCACATGTACATGTATATGCACAATTAGTGTCAAGGCCGGTATTAAGGTAATGCCTTTCTACAAACCACAAAATAATAATACAGTTCTAATATCTCTTACAGATACATGTACATAAAGTCATAATGGGCATTAGCGTACAAACTAGAAGCCAAGTATGTAGTACGTACAATGTACATACATGTACATGTACAATAAATACTTGATATTAAATACTGTACGCGTCTTAATTTTCGAGGTGTAATAAATTTCGTTATTTTCGTGCTCTTTTTAAATCCACGAAATTTAAACCACCTCTAATGCCATTCTATTGTATGTAGACTATGGCCAGAACACAAAAATTAGCTCACACGAATATTAACTTTTGAGCAAATTTCATTGAAAACACGAAATTTTGAACCCTCGAAAATTTTGGACGTATACGGTAGTTTCCTAATTAAAAAAATTATTATACTTACCTCTTCCTCCTCCTCCTCCTCTTCTGGGGCCACCACCTGTGAATAAATAGATAAAATAATTAAATATAATAATAATAATAACAATAATGATAATGCAAGTACATTTACTAATTAATGCATGTACTAATCATGTACCAAAACATTGAATTAGTCAAAGGAGCAATTGTATGTATTGTATTTATATAAGATTAATTAGACTATAACAATACATACATGTACATGTACTTTCAGCTTTCAAGTACGAAATCAAGACATAGTAAAAATATTAGAAAATTTTCCACAACAAGAGTCTTTCTCCCTCTATCTCACCTGGTCTTGGTCCACGAGGTTTAAAAGCTTCCTCCTTTACCTTGTCAATCACCTAAAGACAGATTTGTAAAAAAGGAAATATATTTCTTTTTTAAAAAATTGCTCCAACAAGACCACTGAATTTCTATTATTTACATGTATGTAGAAAATTTAAACTGTTTTCAACAAATAATTTTTGAGTTATGGGCATTTAAAAAAGCCAATTTTGGGAAAAAGCAAAGGCTATAGCTCATGCATTTTCTGAAAAAGGGCTCCAAAATCACCCCAAACTTTTATTACATTTTCTGATACATGTACATGTACAATGTACATGTTAATGTCTTTATGTTACAAGTATGAAGAGAGTTTGAGTTGTTTCCAACAAAATTAATTTTTGAGCTATGAGCATTACAAGCCAATTTTTTCAAAAAAGCTAAGGCTATAGCCCATGCTTTTTGTGAAAATCGGCTCCAAAATCACCCCCAAATTTTTATTACATTTTCTGACATATATTGATGTCTTTATGCTATGTAGAAAGTTTGAGCTGATTCTGACCACAATTTCTAACATTATCAGCACCTAAAATATGCCAATTACTAGAATTCCATATGAGATTTTTGTAAATGTAGATACTGTAAATGTACATGTACATTTTTGGGTTTTTTAATGAAAAATTTGCAATATTAAAATATTAACACATATTGTATTACTCATGTACAATACATGTGCTTTATACGTACCTCATCAGGGATTCTTAAGTATTTAATCATGCTGCCTCTTATGAAACACTCTGGCATCTTCCAAAACCTGTCACCATCCTACAGTATGACACAATAAACATTAAAATATCATTGACACTCTATTAATACAACTACAAGTACATGTATGTAGCACACACACTTTGATGTACAGAGAAATATTGAAGTGGCATACTGTGCATTTTAAATAAATACATGTATATAATATATATATATATACATGTATCATTATATGTTACATGTAAGGTCTCACTCTTGATGTGCAAATTACTTCCTTCAGTTGTATGTTCATCCAGTTATCACAACTAACCAAATGACCATTATACGTCTCACCATTCTTCAACTCAACCAGCTAATGGAGAAACAGAGTGAAGGAGGAGGAAGATAATATTACCCATTACTTTATTATGGTGCTTGAATTTAACTCTTTAATGTACATGTAAATGGCTGCAATATACCGTTTAATTTATTTTACGTTCAATAACCACACCAAATGTAATTAATTTCAAATGTTTCCTTACCATAGGATTATCCTGTGCTGCCTTTAATAAAGATAATGGCAACTAGAAATAAAACAAAATAATAATAAAATACACCTAAAACCACACACTCACCATTTTAACGCAGTATACGGTGATATCCAAAAGTAAACGATGGCAAAACGGGCCGTGATGGCGATGATGTTGCTGCTTCTGTTGAGTTCCCCGCCTTAGCGCCTACAACAGGTCCTGGTCAGTCTAGTAAGAAAGCGAGGAGAGAGAATAATGCCCCAGAGCTCAACAATACTGAAGGAAAGCCATTTAAAGTTATGAAAAACGCGGAGGTGACTCAGGTTAGCACGTGGGTGGGCGGGACGATTAAATTTATTAGGCTAATTAACTAATTTTAATTAATGATAATTATTTTTTAGGAACAAGGAGCCTTTTGAATCAGGTAAAGATTAAGTTTGCATGTTCTTCACTACTCAAAACTTTATTTAGAGTTTGCAAATGTCTTTTTTGATCCATTCATGTGTTGGACTCTTAAGGATTTCATTAGTGAGGGCATAGAGACCGGATATGGGAGGGGCTATGTATCGGATCTTAAAAATTGAAATTTTTTGACAAGAACAACAACTCAAAGAAGTAATTATTATTATTATTGTCCTTGTTATTATTATCATTGTTATTATTGTTGCTGTTGTTGTTGATTTACCTTAGGATGGGTATTAATTGCGACACTTAATTTTAACGAGTGTACTTCAAATCACTAATTCAACCAGTCGCTAATAATAGTTATTAAGTGTAAACAAGTACACAAGATAGGCAAGATGTGTAACAAGATAATAGTAGATAGGGTGGTCCTATGAAGTGTTCTGCTCTTAAATGTATAGATTGGGCGTCTTGAGTTGTGTTACGGGGGGGGGTATATGCTATTGAATGGGGGTTTTACCATTGATTTTCTGCCTATTTTCACTAATATTACATTTCGCTAAATCAGGACCCCCTTTAAAATGCTAAAATTTAAGAGCGCAATTAATACCCACCCTAAGGTATTTGTTGTTCTATAGCCACATCGATCTTAAAAATGCTAAATAAAACAATTTTGGTAAGACAAAACTTTATTGTCATTTTGTACACTTGAACATACAGTGTGGCTGGTAATTTGGAAGTGGAAAAATCAGGCTAATTGCTAACTTCTTGTGATTGGTGGGTTTTAATTTGTGGCCATTGAGCATGCAAATAATGGGTTTATTTTGATGAATGGCTATCAAAACATCCTCCAAGATTACGAGCTATACAGTATGTGTTTTCCGTTATTATAATTACTAGGGATTTATTATTAAGTGATGTATTGCCATGATTACGAGAGCTAACTGGTATTGACCTGTATAAGACTGTGGATGCAACTTGTGCTAAATACGATTACACAGGTCACATGACTGATATGTACCCTCACATGATGTAGAGTGATCTCTCTCTTTGTAGAGATGTATTATTGTGTCATGATGATGAGCTGGAGGGTAGAAGGATTGCATACATATACTATCTTGTAGATCCTTCATGGGAGAAGAAAGATGGTGGTAAGACTCACCATATACATGTAGCAGCACTTGAATGTAGTGGAGTTTTATTTTGACGATAGGCAATTTGTGATTAAATCTGCTAAGTATTAAACTACAAATCATTAATGTGCATGCTTGTGTACATAAAATTACCAAATTAAAAAGTTCCAACTTAATCTTTATGTATACAGAAGATTTGTCTAATTGAGGTACCACATGGTATGACAAAATATGACATTAATACTTTATTCTCTTCACTCTATAGGGGCACTTGATTTATTCAATACTGATGGTATGTACATTTTTAATTCATAATAATAATATTTTAGTACATGTATGTAGAGTGTGGACCGTGTGGTCAGCCTCATCAGATAGTCCATTCTATTGTTCCTTTGTGGAACTCTTGTATTCTTTGAAGTCACTCCAGCCTCTTTCCATCAAGTAAGATAAGCCACTATTATGTAATTGACCAATCAGATTCTCTCGCTCACATGTGTTAGGTATCTGAAGTGCTGACGGCTTCAAAGACTTGTCTAACAATCAGTGGCTGGTTTCATGGGCCATCATTGCCCCGCACATCTCCTTATAAGTAAACCAGTTCATTAACATTGTCATAATAATTGTTTGACTTGTCAAACCAGTTAGAGGTGTTGGCGGAGTGGGTTAGTCCAGTGTATCTTGATGTTGGTACACAATCACAGATAAGGGAACAATTTGAGAGTGAATCACAAATTGAATTTCCTGACTTCTTAATAGTGAGTAAACTACTAATTCTATCACATACAGTTTGAGTTTACCAATTAAAATAATTACTGTATTTTCTTGAATGAATGATCTCCTCAAATTAACGCCCATCACTAATTATTACAACTATAATTATGCATATTCTAACCAGTGCATGAGCCATGGCATTTAGATTGTTCCAAATAGCCTAACTGTTCACTTATAATCTAGAGTTCACAAGGTTGTGGGATGTAGGTTTGATTCCAAGTTTTGGCATTTTAGTTTATTTTACATGATTTTTCTCTGTTTAGTGTTTAGAATAAATGCCCAGGCGTGTACATGTAATTGAGATAATACAGTGATAAATGTGACACACCTCTTGCCTATTTAGGGTACACTTACATGTATTAACCCCCTAGCAAACTTTGTTTTAAACTTATCTTTTACTTACATGTACATGTTATATTAGTTAATTTGACTGTTAGATATGTTTTATATGACTGTACTGCTGGGTTACATTAATACCTTAAGCCCACTATCCATTATAATAGTTTTGTTGAAACTTGGAAGCAACTTTGATGTGTTGTTAAGGCCATGGGAACCTCTACTTGGTGTACATAAGCAATAATCTATTATTAACTTACATATACAGTAACTGTTGAATCAAAGCTAATTTATGTTTATTGTTACAAAGATAAAGATTATTATAGAGCAACTTTCAGTCTCAGTTCTAACAATAAACAAAAACAGCTAAAACTAACACAGTATCAATATTAAATAACATCAACTTTGTAGTAATCACTTCACTCGTTACAATCTATAATTTCTGCAAAGGAGGATATGTTGTATTATGTCATATTATGTGCACTGTACTTGTGCATTATGTATTGTAAGTGCATGCAATGATGCAATGCAATTATACTTACAATAATTATACCAGTAACTATATTATGTGTTGTATTTGTATTATGTTAACTTTGTGTGACGTAAGTAGACTTATATTGTATGTATAAGTGGTATTTCTAATTTGTTTTTTTTCTTAATAATCATAAAGCGCATCTCCCATTATTTTAAGATAATGTACAGTATAGCGGATTTTTTTGAGGATAACAAATAATCTGTATCCGGAGGTTTACTAAATTAATATTTGCGAATTTCCACTATTCTGCCATCTCGTATTGTATTAAATTGATTTTCATGGAATTTAATTTTATGAGTTTTTTAAAAGTCCTCAAAATTTTGTGAAATTTTTTATCCTTGAAAAAACCTGCTATATGGTAGCTACTAATTTTTATAGGAAGATCATGTTTTTGTGCAATGACTTGGTAAACATTTGGAAGAGAAGAGGGCCACCTAATAAAAGGCTAATCTTGAACTAGTAACATTTTCTTTTACTACAGGCACACTCTAGTCAATCTCACATTCTCTTTTTTAGAAATATTGAAGTAGCCCAACCAGACAAACCATTGCCTACTGAATGTCACTCTCTTTTTCTCTCTGAGCCTTTTTTGTCTCCTCTCTTATCTTACTGGCCTACAGAAGCACCTTGATGATAAGACATCTGTTATGCTATAGAGAGTGATCAACATACACCTTGTATATAATTGTCATGGTGACTGGTACCGCAGGTAGCATGAAGGATACACACTGATGAATGATTATACTGGCACTGTTGATGGAGAGAAGGCCAGTGAAAAGTTCTTACTTGAAGCAAGGCTATATTTTAACCCAAAAGATTTTTACATTTTTGCATGCATTGTCATCAATATAACTCAGGCCATTAACATTTTTATGATGAAGAATGGATAACAGAGAGGTTTGGTGGCTATGTAACTGCTTTTGTTGTAAAGGATGGAGATGAAGAGGTGTGGTACTATGTTTCATCGAGTTGTTGGTAATTTTTTGGAGAGTGTTTGTGGCCTCAGTTGCTTGTCAAAGCATCCCTAATGGTCGGAAATCCTACATAGGTTTATTTTTACAAATTAGCCTAATAAAATATCTGCCAATTACTAATAACACCCCTTTTTGGTCATTCTTTTTGTTATAGCTTCTTACTCTCAACCCAACTTCTGTAATTCTATAGACCTAGACAGTTGGTAATGTGAAAATGATGTATGCAGAGTTTTAGAAATTACATTAGTGAGATCTGTGGAAGAAAGCAATAACCATGCAGCTCATGCATGTGATTGTACCAATGAAAACTGTGTTGATCTATCGAGAGAAAAATAATGCTCTGGTTTAGTATTTGTATTTAACTAACTTTTGCGTGTAGTCGCATGATTATGTTAAAATTAATGTGATCATAGATAATCGAGTAAATGAATTTCATTTACTCTATTATCTATGATTTGATCCATGGCACCACCCACCACTGACAAAATTAAGATTATAAAAAGCGCTGATGCTACCAATGCATGAAGGGCTGGCTACGTGAGGCTATGAATTTAGTGAATAGTAAGCCATAACCTTACAATGGCTGAACCAGTTCACAGGCCTGCTATTCTGAGACTGAGGGGAAGGACCTTAGGTCAGTATAGGAATTAGGGTCTTGTCAATATTTATATACGCTTGACTCTTAAATGCATGCAGATATTAAAGATCTTCATGAAGTAATTGCATTACTTGAGAAGCATCACTACAACAAAGCATCATATCATCGACTTGGTCTAAGTCTTCTACTTTCTCATAACAAATTGACTAGCATCGAACAAGAACACAGAGGGCAAGTTGATCGTTGTCTTACAGAGTGTTTGGCTAGCTGGTTGCGTAAAGCTGATGGTGTGGAGAATCCAACAATAAATACATTGATAACTGCTCTTAGAGGAATAGGAGAGAATGCTGTAGCTGATGGTATTGATGAAGAAAAACAGAGTAAAAAAGATGTAATAAATTTTTATTTTTAAGTTCTTTATATAGATGATATTGCTATGCCAAGAAATGAAATATCAGATAGACCTCTTACCAGTGAAAGTGAGCCTGTGTAGATGATGCATAGAAGCACATATAGCAGACACATACTCAGTGAAAACAAATATAGACTCAATAAGATTGAGGCCTTTGTATGCATGATGAATATCCTATATGATCATTGTTTCAGCATATGTACTTTGCATTGATCATCTTTTTTGCATCATTTTATTTAGTTATTACTAAGATTTTACATAAGTTGTCTCGACCTTTAATAGTCCTTTTGGAAAAGTCTTTTAGGCAGTATTGCATGCATGTTACAAAGCTCCAAAACCATCTTTGTTCTACTACCATTTAGTTGCCTGCAAGGCCACTGCCACCATCATGCATGATGTTCTGGGATATGAGCTGAATTGGCATAATACAATATTTCTCTATTTTAATAGGGCATGCAGTGCAGCAGTTGGATACTGTCAATCCAGGTAAGGAGAGTTTCATTGTAACAGAATAGGTTATGTAAATGTATAATGTATAGGTGTGCGCAATCTAGAGCTCAAAATTGATCGAGTTTCAGAGCTTCAAGAAATTGCTAATAAATTACAAGGAAAATATGATTTTCTCGTTCTTGGAGTTAAAAAATCCCTTGAAGATCATCAAAAAATTGATGTAAAAGATGCCAAAATCTTGATAAAAGAATGCTTAAAGAGAAAAGCACATGTTGTATCTGAGTTGATGCCCTGCATTGATATTCTTGAGAAGGTTAATGACTTTGAAAGCTTCTTTGAGTTTCTAAGCAAATATGATTTCATTGGCTACCTCAACTACAAGCTATTGAAGAAATTATCTGAACTAGTTAAAGATGATGATGGGATTATTCAACTTCTTTTTGAATATGAAGAAGAATATGCCAAATTATTAAATGCAGCTTCCTTTCAAAATTTGATACCTTTATTTGAGAAACAATCTGATTTGTCTCCTACAGCTCCTCTTGGTTTGCCTTATGTTTCCTTTCGTCTTGAGAAGCCTTGGTTTTTTACTAGTGTTTGGTCCTGGGTTTTAACCCTTGGTACATTTTCATGGTCTTATTATGCACTTCTTAAACAACTAAGAGAGAACTGTGTTATCATCACTTATGCTATACTACCTTGTTTTCTTGATGATGTCATAAGAGACTTGAAGAATCCATTGAAATTGAAAAAGCTGAAGGATAAAGGAGTTACAGTAATTGAATTACCACAATTAGAGGAAGGTGAGATTTATGTATCAATTATTTTAAATTAATTTTATTTATTTTTAGAGTCATATTTGAAATCTGTTGCTAAAAAGAAACTAGTTTCAAAAGTTTCTCTTAAACAAAGGGTGGTTCCACCAGTTAAAAAAGAAGTTTCAATTAAAAGTTCTAGTCTGGTATATGACCTAGTACTATAATAGCTATTTACAATTTAAAATTATTAATGACCTGTTGATTTCAATTGTGTGCTTTTCCTTGTATAAAACCCTTGCTACTCAAGAAAGTTTGTCCATTTACATTTTGAGAAATACCTTCCCGTATATATACTGCATCAGTCTGTACATGCATCAAATGAGACAAATGCTACTTGTAAAAGACATGCATGTTTACCTTGCTAGCATTACAGTACCGTATAGCAGGAAATTTTCGTTGGGTGCTAATTTTCGTTTGTTTCGTCGGCCCAAAAATTTGAACGAAATTTTAAGACAATGAAAATTTAATCTAACGAAAATTTGACCCATGACAGATCCTCTTTCACTACAGCCACGGCATAGCAATCTGTGGCATTATCAGAATTGACACAAAAGGCAGTTCTTCTCCAACTGATGGGCTCCAAATGTCTTTATAAATGTGGTAACCACAGTGAACCATACTGAACCATAGACATTCTTCCATCTTAAACCATACACGTGGTACTAATTAAATGAGCGTGGTAGTGAAAATTTATATTAGGCAAAACGAAAATAAAATCAACAAAATTATCTTGTAAAGCCTTCTTGAAAAGACAACAAAAGTTTTTGGCAACGAAAATTTCCTGCTATACGGTATCTGTTAAAAATCTTTGATTTTAGAATTTAATTTTTATAGGCAAGTAAAGCTAGTGCATCACAAGAATTGTCTCTTAAACAAGGAGTTCCACCAATTGGGAAAGAAGTTATAATTGAAAGTTCAAGTCTGGTATGATCTATTCCTATGCAGCTATCATTTACATTTTAAAATTATTTAGGACAGAAAATTGATAAGGTCTATGCAATCTCATACTGAACCTGAGGAGGTTATTAGTCTACTTGAAGCTGGAGCTAATCCTAATGCTACTGAGGTTTGTAGCTGTACATGAACTTTAATATTTAATTTTTATAATAGCAATCATTTGGTGGTACTACTGCTCTTATTATAGCAATCAAAAATGATAACACTGATATTGTTAAATTGTTACTGGAGAAAGGTGCTGATCCTAATGTTACTGAGGTTTTTTGCTACATGCATGCACTGTAATGTTTAATTTGTTGTAATAGTATTCATCTGGTGGTAATCCTGCTCTTATTTTAGCCATTGAAGATAATAATTCTAATATTGTTGAATTATTACTGGAGAAAGGAGCTGATCCTAATGTTACTGAAGTTTGTTGCATGCATGTAATGTAATAATTAATTTGTTATAATAGTATGCATCTGATTGCGATACTGCTCTTATTAGAGCCATTGAAAAGAATAATATTGATATTATCAAATTTTTGCTGGAGAAAGGAGCTGATCCTAATATTGGTTCTGATACAGTAAGCCTTTCAAAGTAGTTACAAACCATAATAGTCAGCAAATTTTTGAAGTATAGATCAAGTGATTACATGTGCATGTGATGTTGGCAATTTTTCAATGATTAAAGATATTAAAATTATCATTTTATTAATAATATATTAATAGAGGAAAAGCAGAACTCCATTGTTTAATGCTGTTAAGAGTGGCTGTATTGAAGTAGTTGATATTCTATTAACTAATGGAGCTAAAACTGATGTTGTGGATGAAGTAAATAACATTCTACTTAATTTTAAAAAATATGCTGGATAAGTATAAATATGCATGTACTTGCTATTACCTAATAGAGTAGTGTTGATTACTAGTTTATCAGGATACAATCAACTAACTATCATGCAATCAAAAATAAATAAAACTGACAAAACAAAATCTAAATCCCACTAAATGAAATGTAACACAAAATACAAAAAAATCGATCAAGATCTATTGTATGTACATTGCTTTGCTTGCTTAGGCTCGCCCCTTCATTGTTTTACAATTGTCTAGTTATTATCTCTCAAAATGCACAACAACACAAAATGTAAGGTTGGTAACAGAACAAAGTATCTATTCATAACAAATGAATTGAGATAATTGTAAGTAGTCATGGAGCGTTCAGATGTCTTCGGAGAATGTGGGAACTCCCCAACAAAGCAGTTTTCTGTAGATGCTCAACTCTCACTGAAATATCCAGTTTTCCTAACCACTCATTAAGTCTATAGATGTTACAGCACCCAATGCTCTAATAACAATTGGAACCACTACCACCTTCTTCATCTTCCATAATTTTATTATCTCCTGTCTTAGCTCTTTATACTTCTCTACTTTTTCCTCTTCTTTCTTCATTATTCTATTGTCTCCAGGTATTGCCACATCAATAATCAAACACTTCTTCTCGATCTTGTCTATCACCACAATATCAGGTTTCCTATGCTCGATGTAATTATCACATTGGATCATAAAATTCCACAAAATCTTAACTGAGTCATTTTCCATAATACCTTCTGGTGCATGCCCATACCATCTTTTCCTCTAGCAACTTGATGTTTCCCACACAGCTCCCAATGTAAGTACTTAGCCACGCCATCATGCCTTCTTTTATACTCTCTTTGAGCTAGCTTTGAACACTCACTGGTAATGTGAGAGACACTTTCACCCTTTACTCTACAAAATCGACATAATGGAATCAGCTGTCCTGTCAATTTTATTACCAGCGCTAGCGCATGGTATGTAGGGTTGAGTTGGACGAGCGCGCCCCCAAAATGGCTGCCATCCCAGAAGCATTGAGCCTGTGTAAATCTTCAGGAATTCTTTATAGCTTATCTGACAGTCAAGATTTCCTTTATAATTTTATTGAAACAGGTTAAAAGCTTCTACAAGATAGTTTTACGGCAATGAATTAATGCATGCATGATGCATGCCTGCATGCACCAAATGTTCAGGTTTCTCCTTCTTCTCAAGTTCTTCTTCTTCCACAGTTAAGGAAGAATTAGTCCTACAGTTTTTATCCTAGAAAGATAATTTTTGCACCATTCTATTGCGCTTAAGGGACGCTAGTGCAGTGTGGTTTGGCATTTAGATTCTCCAAAATGATTTCTCGTCGTTATTTTCAAGTACACAGTTGATTCACCAAGTGGTTGGACGCCATTTTGATGCAGCCAACTGCGCATGCTCAGTAATATTATAATGGCTGGAGCTGGAAGAGCCTTACTGACAGTACTTACTGACTGATGATTTGTGATGAGATTAAGATGATGTGCGTGCCTAAAGACACGACTATCTACTGACACCACTCGCTTCAAGTGAGAGAAATTATTCTAAATAAACATCAATAATTTTATTCTTTAGTTACTATGACTACACTGACTTCTGTGTTTATGATTTATGTACTTCATTTTACTTAATCTCTTCTAGTAAAGGTAAGTATATAGAGTAAATTGTTGGTTTTATGCTGAGTAAAGCATTCTATATGTTAAAGGGTGGGGCTTAAACGCCCTCTTCATGTCATAGATTTACTCTATTATCTATGCCCATGGATGGCAGCTT